AAAGAAGAATATTCGTTAAACTTCAACATTAATTGAGATAAGATAAATATACAACCATATTACATAAAAAATATAAAGTTAAATTAATAAATATGGCAAAAAAAATTTATGGATGGGGGATTATCATGAATATATATAGCAAAATATCAAAATGAATTGAAACTTAATTTTGTCGTTTAAATTGAACTTTACTTTTTATTAATTTTACTTCAATCCCGTGCATTGCACGGCCCAAAAATCTAGTAATAATAATAATAATAATAAGGGGAAATATGCAATACACCCCTTATTTGGAAAATATTTTGAACTAAACCCAATTGACTTTGAAGACTTTTCCAATAACCCATATCCCAATCTAAATTAGTGAAACCCCCCTTACCATCTATGACAAGACTAAAGTGCCCTTATGTCTTAGGGTTTTAACCTAATACAATTTTATTTCTCTCTCTCCAATTCTCTCGCTATTATCTCTCTGTTCTCGCTCTCTCTCTCTTTCTTCCATTCTCTCGTTCATCTCACGTTCTTTCTTTTTTTTTTTTTCTTTTTCCATCTTCTCCAGACCTGTAAACCGCCGCCGTCGGAGTCAACAATATCCGTCGCCGCCTCCGTCGGATTTCTACATGGAGATTTCCCTTCTCTCGACGCTAAATACCAATTTATACTATATTAATTGGTAAATTTTATTTTTTTATTTTTCTCGAATTAATTGTCGAACTAGCAATATAATATGTAGCAATATAATATGTTATGGATCTGAATGTCAGTTCTATTATTTGTTTGTTATGAACGCATACATTGATTTTCAATTATTCGGGATTTTATTAATTTTTGTATTATTCTGCATATTCTGAATGTTTAGATCTGGAAAACCCATTGAATTACGAGATTAGTTGGTTGTATTTCAGTGTATTTTACAGAGTAGTCATATTTGACAGAGTAGTCATGTTTAACAACTTAGTTATATTTGTCCTTTTTTTTTGTAGTACTGCATATGTTCAACATTCAACAGTGTAGTCATATTTAACACACAAGATCAAACGGAAGATTAAGTGCAGTCGGTGCAACCGAGTTGGATACCGCAACAAAAAAACATGTTTGATGGCCATTGTTGAAAGATCACATTAGTTATTTTTTTTTTTTCTAGCCATTTTTTTTTTCTTGTTGCAATGTATTTTGCTATTAATATTGCAAGTGTTTTCAAGTGCTGATTACTTGTAGT